TATACTCGAGTATAAGCCAACCCGAATATCATCCGACGCACCTAATTTTACCACAAAAGTGTGCTGAAAACCCCGGCTTATAATCGAGTATATCCGGTAATGTGGCTCTGCTAGCCATAGTCTTCGATACTGTTTTCTGACGAGTCTGGGAGAGGAAAAGTGGGAGGAGATAGTGAAAGGAGTCAGCCTCGAAGGACTGTTCCCGGGGCTCATGGTGATTGCCCTCCTGCTGGGGATAAAGTGAGCCATCTCGGAAGGCGAGTTCACTCCCATCAAGAACGAGGAGGAGGAGGCGGGGAGCATATCACCTGGACCTGGAAATTCCCGGGCCTTGAGCCTCCTTGATCCAGGAGGCAGCTTTGACACCAGAAGCAAGTGCCAGAGCATAAGCAACACAGTGGCCTTCGCGGCCCCCAGAGCAAGCAAAGCTGAGCGAGTGTTGGGGCGGGCAAGAGACTGACTGGTGTGTGGAGTGCTAGCAGACACTTCAGTGAGGTGCCAGGTCTGCTGACCCACATGTTAGGGCTGAGTGCCTTGGCGCTGAAGGCCCTGGTGGAGTAGCATGCAGCTTTGGGCATTTATTGGTAGCCCTAAAAGCTGTGTAGCCTTGGAGGGCAGAGGCCAACAGTCCCAGTGGCTGAAGGTGGGAGAGAAGCCTACCAGAGGGGAAGGCTGAGAAGAGGCTGTCCTATCCTGACTGAATAATTGTATCCTGAGCATTTATTCCCTGTTAACTTCCTTAATAAACCCCCAAATGGTTAGTATTGGGGAGTTCTAAGTGGCAAATGCAATGGATTTTGGAATCCAGCTAACAAGTGGAGAGGGCCGTCTTGTGGGGGGTGGGGGTGCAGGAAGGTGTTGTCTGCATTGGGAAAGGAGAGCTATTGCGTGGCGGTGCATTTGACTTCAGCCTCCCAGAAACGGGCCTTGAGAGCTGCTGCTGAGGAAGGCCATTTTCTTTCCCCTGTGAAGTTTGAGGAAGTTGGACCCACTGACACTTCATTCTTTACAACACTGTGTCACCTCTGCTGCACCACACCCAAACCCAAACCGCCATCACTCTGGCTGGGAGCCACCAGAAGGTCCCACCTGGATGATTTCTCAGGGAGTCTGCTCACTGGTCTCCCTGCCTGGAGTCTTTACTTTCAACAGAGCAGCAACCAGGACAAGGGCACAGCCCACCAGGGCCTGGTCGCCCACCACTTCTCTGACGTCATCTCCCGCCACTGTCTTCTTCCTCAGTGGTTTTACCCCAAACGCCCAACCCGAGTGCTTTTCCTTGGCTGCGCCCAACACCTTTGCACTCCTTGGTTCACCCCGTATCCTTTGTCCAAAACGGTATCCTTTGCCCGGAATGGACACGTGAGAGCTCCTTCTTCCTTCAGTTCTCTGTCCAAACACACCTGACCAGTGAGGCCTGCCCTGACACCCCATATAAAATAGAACGCACCCTCCCTCTGCCAACCCTAGTCTCTACTCCCCTTACACGGCATTATTTTCCTCCAAAGCATTTGTCACCATCTGCCATACGGACTGTTGAGTTGTATCGTTTGTTTGGCGTCTGCATCGCCTCACTAATGCGCTGGTTCTGTGAGGGCTTATGTTTTCGGTCCTCGCACACATTTGGTTGCTAGCTCCTTAAGACGTTCTTTACCTAGCATCTAGAACATTCCCCCTTTAAAATGAGAGAAAAGAAACATTCCTTAATGTGGGGCCAATGCTGACTTTTAACAGCTTTGTAAAAGAGCAGAACTCATTTTGAGAATGATGAGGGCAATGAATGTACAAATGTGCTTTACACAATGGATGTATGTATGGAGCTGTGTAAGCCCCTAATAACATTATTAAAAACCAAACAAACCAGCAGAACTCAGTCTTTCCAAGGCTGTAATATTTAAGGAAGCCAAATACAGTTAAGAAGTAGCAAACGAAACTAATGGTATGGTTTGGGGGTCAGCACAACACGAGGAGCTGTATGACAGGGTCGCGGCACTAGGAAGAACCAGTCCTAGACCGAATCCTGAAGCGGAAATGGCCACTCGTCACGGGAAAGACTGATACACTGGGAATCAAGTCTGGAAGTTGGTTTAACAGCAGCACACAAACACCCAACAAGTAAACAAAACCTCCACCTCCTACCAGACGCCATTCTCCCGCATCTAGCACACCACCACCACTGCGGGGGAGCCGGCTGGACTCCTGGTGGCCCAAGGACATCAGTACCATTGTGCGGATCTAGCACACATTTGCTGTGAGGTCCCTGCTCTACCTGGAAGGCTGTGCCTGTTAAGACACACCTCCCCGAGGGCTGGAAAGTTGTTAGACGGCTCCTTTGTGTCCCTTTGTGTTACACACACTGCTGCGTCACTCTGTACAGTTCTTTCTTCTAGAACCTGCAACACTAAACCAGAAACCAAACTTGCTGCCACGGCAGAGTCCGCCTGACACTTAGCCCCCCAAGAACATGAAGTGCGAGTCCTCTGCATAGTGGACAGTCTGTCTCGAGCTGCTAGATGAAGCTCGGCACATCCGCGTTATTTGATCTCCCGCATCATGGTTTTATCCCTTTGGTCATTCTTGCCATGCACCTTTCAGCACCCTACTTTGTCGATGCCTTCTTAAAATTAACCATCAGAACGAACAATTTGAGGGGAACATCTCAAAGTCTCTTTTTGTGTTGGATACTATGCTTCCAGCCCTAAAACTCCGCCCCTTTTTTTTAACCAACTGCATCATACAGGAACTCGCCACCCGCTGACAAGCGCTGGTACGTTTCTCCTACGGGTGACTCGAAGAAATGTCAGAACCCAGCTTCATTCGTGCAACAAGTAGAGCGCGCTGTGTGTCAGAAAGGCCGTCCTGGTGGCAGCATGGGCTATGTGTGAGGGTGCTCAGCACAAGATGAACAATTCAAATTCACCAGTGCCCCAGAGAGAGAAAAATGAGGCTTTCTGCTCCTGTAAAGATTTACAGCCTCCAAAACCCAAAAGAGCAGTGTCTGTCCTGCAGGGTTATGATCTGACTCAGTGGCAGTGGATAGATTGTTTTGTGTGTTATGTATTTCACTGAGAGTTGACCTTGGGATAGACACATTAAAGAGTGCCTTGGGGTAAAGGAGTAAATCTTCAGACACAGACTAGAAATGAACAGACTGCCATAGCTTTCTAGCTGGAGGTGGCTGGTGTGTTCCAACAGCTGGCCTTTAGGTCCCCAAGTGAGTGCTTAGCCAGGAGCCCTGCCAGGACTTCTTGCCAGACACATACCTAAGAATGTTACTGGTATGATCGGTGCTATATTTAAAAACCATTGGTTTGAGAATAAAAAGTCAACAGTTATCCAAAAGCACTGAGAAGAAGGAAGGGAAGGGGAAGGAAAACTACAAACAATTCACTGTCATCAAATCGATTCTGAGTCACAGTGATACGCAGGGCAGGGCAGACCTGCCCCCATGTGAGTTTCCAACACTGGACATCTTTATGGGAGTGGCCAGCCTCATCTTTCTCCTCAGAGCGGCTGGTGGCTTCCAGCAGGTGACCTGTGGTTGTGGCCCAGAGTGCCAACCACTGTGAGCAGGGCTCCCGCAGGGAAACCAGCAGACCGAAAATGGAGCAACGGGAACACCATGAAAAGGAATGTTGCCACATTGTGACACATACCATTAATGTCACTGGACAATGTGTGTGGAGATGCTCGTATCAGAACCAAATTTGATGGGAACGCTTTCACCAAAACCCAGTGAAAGATTATTTTTTAAATGAGCACATACCCACTTCTTATCACAATAGTTAGGTTCCAAGGACCCACCCACTCACTGTCATCAAGTCAATTCCAACTACAGCGATGCTATACACTACATCTTGACGGGCAGACATGCTCCCAGAGAGCATTCGGTGGGTTTCAAACACTGACTTTGTGGTTTACCACGCAACACTCAGCCCACAGCATGGCCAGGGCTCCTTTTCCAAGGAGCCGGGGGGAAAAGAACTTACAACACAGATTTACTGCCGCGGAAATCATATGGGGCAGTTCTACTTTGTCATATAGGGTTGCTATGATTCATTGTTTTTAATGTGTCAAGACAATTGCAATTGAGTACCAACCAATACTTTCAGAATCTAAAAACAACTCATTTCAACAAAACTCATGAAAGGTTAGCCTAACACCAAAGTAAGTAAAGTAGTGGCAAAACTATTATCCAACTAACAAATCTAAACTCTTCCCCATCAGCCTATGAAAGGGAGACCATCACTGATGTTTACATGGTAAAGTTCAACGCCTACCCTTCACTTCTAGGGTGTTTCCCTCACAGACTCACACTAGCAAGTATTTGTACACTGTCCAGAGCCTCTCTCTTTGACGGTCTTCATTCACCTGCCAGCTTTATCCCAATCATCTATCTCAACCAAGGAAAGAAAGCACCAAGCCACACACACTTGAGAGCTGCCTTGCACCATCTTGCACGAAACCAAGGCGTCAGATGACCTGAGTTTCCCAATAAACTCGTCTCGGGCTGGAGTCATCTATTAAGCAAAGCCAGCTCATTACTTCCTTACATCTAGGCATTAGCAGTCGATTTTCTGATCTTTCATCCTCAACATCCATCCCTTTGAAGTCAGAGCATCAGGAATTTTTTGCCAAGTGTAAAAACCATGCATCACAAGTGCATGAGGGTGTCCTGGTGCCCACACTGCAAAACCTTGAACCTGCAACTCCAGGTGTTGCATAAGGGGCAGCTTGGAAATAGATAAAGATATTAGATACATGTATATACATTTTACACACACACTAACACACACACACACACACACACACAAAGAAGCTTCTCTGCTTTCTCAATCTTGGGACCAAGGGATCAGGAATGAGATACCAATGACACTCCTTCACTTCTAAAGACCACCCCTAGAACCCCTCGGAGGGCGAAGGCCCGCTAGCCTGCGGAGGGCTCCTGGCACCCGCGGCAGCAGGGACAGCGGCGGCCGGCGCGCCCGCGACCCCCTTACCTCTCTTGTCCATTAGCCACATGAACGCAAAGCAGGGCAGAAAGCCGATGGGCCCCCAGAGCACCAGCAGCGCGATGTCCCAGCTGGAGAAGTGGTAGGCTTGGCGCGCCGAGTTCTGGATGGGGCCCCAGGTGTTCCAGACCAGGCCCTGCGCAAACGCCAGCAGCGAGAAGAGC